AGACATTTGTGATTCAGAACATCGAGAGTATGGAGGGTTTGAGCACAGAAAGAAGTTTCGTTCTGGTTACCACCTTATGAATATATTTGTAGATAATTCGTTTTGCAAGTTTTTGGGCAGGATTTCCCCACAATTTGGTCATGTCATTTGAGACAAGGACATCATACCTTTTGAATTTGTTGAGTGAACCACATTGGTAAGAAAATTCGGCAAACTTGGTATTGTTCAACACGTAGAATCTGTGTCATTCACAAGACGATAAAAATATGTTGATTGTATTAGTCACTAACTCATTGCTGCAGAGAAGTCTTGCCACTGGACAGGCATCAGGGGACACACTGAGGAGGAGCGGCGCCGCAGGGCCGCCGCCGTCCGGAGCACCTTTGGAGGGATCCGCGGACGAGAAGTCACCAGGGCTGGCCATCGTGCTGGAGAAGTGTGGAGGATGTTATGGAAAATGACCAAAAGGCCCAGTTCGGAACACCTGCTGACTGTTTCAGGTAGCCTTTGTGTTGTTGTCGCTCTTCAGTGCAGGAATCAATTTCAATATGGACATGATTAACATGTTGTTTTGGTTCAGTTTGTAGGCCTTACTTTCTGTAAATTCTTAAACATACATTCGTCATATGTGCATCCATAGCAAATTCCTTTGATCAGAATCATAGACTGCTCCAAGGATATGGTTGTATAACATACAATTTATAACCTAATGATTGTTACTTGGTTTATCCAGCCCGGGAGTCCAGCCGAATTGGGAGGCAAGGTCTACGAGATGATGATGAACGCCCTTGGCGGGAGATGGGGAAGATCTGAGACAAATGGATAACTTGTTTTCTAGAATGCATCGCATAGATGTGTAATTTTGAAATGGCCGCCGAAGATATTTCCGTTATCAGGCTAGACTTGATTGGAGGGATATAACTAATCTAAGATTTGTTTGATTGAGACCATGCATATATGAAATATTGTATATCTCATACAACATATCTGAAGTTAACAGTAAAGTTTCATAATTTTTAGAAGAAGTTGCATATACTGTTGGTTCTAGGTGAAGTTTGTATCGCAAACATTATAGCTGACATATGTTTACAAATACATGCACTTAAGCAGCCACGACTATGCTAATTCACGTGGAGATGGCACAAACATGGAGAGCTAAGTACTCTATATACGACAACTAATGTTTCACCTTTATTGGGACCAAATCTAAAAGTTTTTTTTCATTGTTTTACACGTTGATGGATGCTGCGAACCTTAGAAATTATTAGCTCCTGAATGAAGCAGAGGAAGATGCCTCCCACGACCTCTTTTTCACCGTCACAAACATTGGAGCTGTAGTCTGAAAATTTATTCTCTGTATTGGGCCCTGTTACCACGAAGCACTAGGGTACGTACCTCTCTTGGCACTGTAGCAACAAGTGCGGATAGATACTTTTTTGGTGGAAGAGAGAAGAGAGAGATACACTTTTCTATTTTTTTAGATGATACCTTTTTTGGTGAGAGAGAGAGAGAGAGAAAATTTCGTGGAGTTGTGAGACATACGCAATTGAAAAGATTGAGCCCAAGTCCAACTGCCCGACTGGCCGTAATGAAGCCATCACTAGGACACTAGCGATCTAGCGAGTCTGTGCATTAAGTTATTGTTTTTTTCCGAGAAAACTTTCGATCTATTTATGAACTGTCAAGGTAGTAGAAAGAGAAGTAGAATTTACACCCAGGTTCGTAGACCACCTAGCGATGACTACAAGCACTGGAACGAGCTGAAGACATACCGCAACCATCGCCGCTATCTCTTTGAAGATGGGCAAACATTGTTGTAGTAGACAGTCGGAAAGTCTTTGTGCTAAGGTCCCATAGGACCAGCGCACTAGAACAGGAACCACGGCTGACGAAGAGAAGCATAGATCGGAATGATCCAACCCGCAGACATACAGACATAGACGAACGAAGACCGTATCCAGTCGGATCCACCAAAGACAAACGCCAATCAGATCCCACGAGATCCGTCGAAGACAAACCTTCACACGCTTTCCGACGACGCTTGAAACATCACCGGGATGAAGGCTAGGCGGGGAGGACCTTGTTCCATCTTCAATAAGCCGTTGCCGCTTCATCTTCTTGAGCATGACAAACTCTAACAAAACTCAGAAAAGTACCTAAAAATGGGGCCCTCGACCGGGATCCACCGCGCCTCCATGGTTCAAGGACCATAGGAGACGGGCGGCCCGGCAGCGGCAATGGCGAGAGGCACGGAAACCCTAGATGAGCCATTAACTTACGGTTAACCCAAATAATGCACTTGCAATGCACTATCTTTTCTATAATAACAATGGCCAAGCTTCGTGAGACGATCTTAAGTATAATAGAAATCAAGGTGCTATATACTCCCTCCGTTTCTAAATATAAGTCTTTTTAAAGATTCTACTATAGAAACTACATTTACATATATATAGACGTCTTTTAGAGTATAGGTTCATTCATTTTACTTTGTATGTAGTCTATAATGAAATCTCTTAAGACTTATATTTAGGAATGGAGGGAGTATCATTTCTAATGCATTGCACACTAAAAATTATATGTTGTTGTACCACCTACTTTACATCAGATATGATAGTATACGTCGTTGATTACATTTTTCGAAATCCATTGCAAGTGAAGTGGATTCATTTTTTTATACATGTGAAATTTGACAAGCCTTAGAGCAACTCCAAAGGGCCGACCCATTTCGTCCGCCTGCGTCCGTTTGGGTCGGCGCGGACAAAAGTGGTGGCCTAACGCGCCGACCCAAACCCAAATCACGTCCGCGTCACGTCCGCGCCGACGCATGTGCGGCCCAAGTTTGCGCCCCAAATGCGTCGGCGCAGACGCCGAACGGACGTTTCACGTGCCTTCTTACTATCCGCCGCGTCCCCACATGGCAGCCGTCCAACTACCCGCTGCCCACGCGGTCAGCTTAATTTATGACGACGGGCACACGCGTCAGCGACGGCGCTCGTCCTTTTTAAGCCGACCGTGCGGCGGGGCCGTCCTCATCTAAACTCGCCGTCCACATCTGCCCACCCTTGCTCCCTCGACGTCGGCAAACCCTGGCCACCACAACCACAGCGAGATGGGCCTCTTCTCCGGCGTCAGCGGCAGCAAGGCCAACGGCAAGTCCCCCGCCACCCCTTTCCCCTTCGAGTTTCTCCCACCTCCGCCGGCGCCTCGCCGGCAGAGGCAGCGCGTTAACGTGCCAGCGCACCAGGCGGAGTGGCACTGGCAGAACCGCCAGCCGCTGCCGTATCCCGACGTGACGCTGCCGCACGACTGGCATCTGGATCCAGATAGGATCCCAGTGCCGGCGGCGCCGCGGACGGCTCGTGCTCACGCAGAGGAGGTGCGGCATCGGCGGGCACTGCTGACGCCGGAGCATCGCCTCGACAAGGCCTACGCAACCGACTAGCCCAACTGGGCGAGGTGGTTCGCCTTCGAGCACGAGGAGGCGAGGCGACGAGGCGTGCGCGAGGTCGACCGGAGGCCAACGCCGCTCGTCGTCCGCGAGGAGGACCAGGCGGCGGAGGACGCCTATTAGGCGGCCCTTGCGGCCGTCTACCGGGAGAGCGAGGAGGACGAGCGGCGCAGAGCGGAGGCGGCGAAGGCGGCGGAGGCGGAAGAGGAGGCCCGGTACGAGGCGGAAATGGCGCAGGCCCTTGCCCTCTCCGCGGCGGGCGACAGCGTGGTGAAGCCGGTGGCCCCGCCGTCCCCCATCAAGCCGGAGCCGCAGCCGGAGCCTGAGCCCGAGCCCATCGCGCGCTTCTCCTGGAATGGAGTGGTGCGCGAGTGGGTGTCCGCGCCATCGGTTTGGCTGGGGGCGACACCGGCGCAGGAGCAGGCCTACCTCGAGATGTGGCGCCAGCGCCGGCTGGCAGAGGAGGGCCGTCAAGGTGAGTACGAGGAGATGCTCGAGCGCGACCTCGAGGAGGAGGCGCGCGAGGCCGAGGAGGAGGCGCGCCAGGCCGTGGCTGCACAGGCGGCCGCACAGCCCCCCGCCCTGGCACAGCCCGACATGGCGGCGATCTGGAACTCGGCGTTCGCCTGGGCCGGGACGGCGCCGACGCTCATCGACCTCACGGACCCCGAGGACAACAACGACGATGCTTAGGGCAGTGCGCCACCTCGTAGTTTAGGCTGTTTTTATTTTTTTAATGCAAATGCGGACGCGTGGACTCTCGCCGGCCTTCATGGCCTGCTTTTATGTTTAATTAATGTTGTTTCTCTTTTTTAAATATGCATGCGTTCTTTTTTTGGCGCCGTCAAAATGGATCTCAGGCCGGCGTTGGGCGCAGGCGCCGACCCAAATGCAGAAGCGGGCATCCGTGTCCGTCTGGCCGACCCAAACGGACAAAAAACAAATGAAATCGCCGTCCGTTTGGGTCAGCAAGTTGGAGTTGCTCTTATGCTTATATATGCAACTGATATATTTTTGAAATGCCCGTGGCAACGCACGGGCATTCTACTAGTACTCCTAGTAGGTCATATACAAATTTGCAGCACTCCTGCTTTCCTCCATGGACGATATTAAAAGTAGTACCAAGAAATATGCTAGTGGGACTCACCAAACTATGGCGCCTAGGCCAAACCACATGCCGACATGGTCAGGAACGACAACCAAAATCAAGATCACGAGGAACTCCAAAGCAGCGCAGCAGGGGATGGGATGGATGTTGCTGCGGGGGTTAGGATTTTGGTTGGACCCATGGACTCATCACTCATGCACAAAACACTTTTCTTCCACTAACACTCAATCCAACAGAATTATAAAAATGAAACTAGGGAATGGTCTCCACGGGGACGAACAACTGACATGGCATTTCAAGATTTCAGATTGCCAAATGGCCTGATCACGCCGGCTGGTCGGTGTCTCAGGATCTAAAGGTGCCGGAAGAAACCCCGCCGAGAAAGAAGCGACAGCGCTATCTACCTACGGGGAGTATTGATCTGAGCAGACGCGCGGCACGTACCTGCTGCGGCGTCTGGCCGCCGGCGTCGGCGTCCCGGCGCAATGAGAGCGTCGCCCTGGGCCTCGGGCGCACGTACGGCGACGTCACGGCGAGGCACGCCGGGGGCAGCGACGACTGCGCGAGGACGAGGAGAGCCAGCGCCACCGTGCTCTTCTTCGTCCCCATCGTCCTGAACTTGAACTGAAAGGAGGCGAGGGCAGAGTGGAGAGGGGTGGAGGGACGCTGAATGGCTTGATGGGAGCAGCGGGCCGCGGTATGTATAGTACGAGGCTGGCAGGTTGCGCGCAGGCGACGGACGCGATATAGTCTTGTTTTCTAGAGCGCACAATAATGGCGGGCTGCCGCTGCCGTGGCCGGATTTTGGATGTGTTTTCAGGTGGGAATCTGACTCCTGGATCCGGTATTGGGTCAACCTTGGGTGACTCGTGTCCCTAGACCAGTGTTTTTGGTGCGATACTGGGGCTGTGAACTGGGAGGCCGTGTTCTTTTCTTCTGTTGGGCGGTCTACGCGTATTGGGGGATGGGATTTGGCTTGAGTTCCCGTTGCTCGTGACGTGGTGGCAATGCCTCTTCCTTTCTTTTTTGTCGGCTTGGAGTGGAGGTCTGTTAGCTGCAACATTGTGACCAGACGGCACGGAACTTTAAATAAAAACAAAATGAAATCTAGTGCTGGCTTTCTCATAGGAGGTCATCCGAGCTACCGTCCCTCGATGAGATAGAAACGAGTGAACGCTTTCGTTTGCGCTGGGAGGCCCTTCTATGTTTGTCGACGCGTGCTGCATGCCTCCGCCCTGCGCCGCTCGTCCTCCTCGCTCTCCCGGTAGACGGCCGCAAGGGCCGCCTGGTCTTCCTCCTTAACGATGAGCGGCGGCGGCACGCTGTGGTCGACCTCGCGCACGCCGCGCCGCCTCGCCTCCTCGTGCTCGAAGGCAAACCAGTGCGCCCAGTTGGGCGAGTCGTAGGCGTAGGCCTCGTCGTGGCGCTGCTCCGGCGTCAAGAGCGCCCGCCGGCGACGCACCTCCTCCGCGTGCGCCCTAGCCGACCGCGGCGCCGCCGGCACTGGGATCCTTTCCGGATCCAGATGCCAGTCGTGCGACAGCGTCATGTCGGGGTACGGTAGCGGCACGCGGTGGTGCCAGTGCCACTCCGCCTGGTGCACGGACACGTTCACCCGCTGCCTCTGCCGATGAGCCGGCGCAGACGGAGGCGGTGTGAACTCCACGGGGAAGGGGACAGCGGGGGCCTTGCCCTTCGACTTGCTGCTGCTGCCAGAGAAGAGCCCCATTTGAACGGCTAGAGTGGCTAGGGTTTGCTTGCCGGGGAAGGGGGAACGAGTGTGGCCTAGATGGGGACGGGAACTGAGGACGGCCCCGCCACACGGTCGGCTTAAAAAAGGACGATCGCCATCGCTGACGCATGGGCCCGTGGTAATAAATTAAGATGACCGACGAGGGGACGGGTAGTTGGGCGACCGCCAGGTGGGGCCGCGGCGGACATCGAGAAGGCACGCGTTGCGTACGTTCTACGTCCGCACCGACGCATTTGGGACGCAAATTTGGGCCTCAAATGCGTCGGCGCGGACGCGTTTTGGGTTTGGGTCGACGCGTTGGGCCTCCATTTTTGTCCGCGCCGACCCGAACGAACGGCGGCGGACGAAATGGGTCGCCCCGTTAGAGTTGCTCTAATCCACCTCTTGAATTGCTATAAGGTACGTGAATTCCGGGGCCCTCGACCAACCCAACCCCTACAACAAATCTTTATAAAATCCCTATAATCAAGACTAGTTTCTCCTCAAAAATTTTGGAAGGGCGGAAGCCATGGATTTGCAGACAAAATATGGGTGATTTTGTAAGGAAAAAACCAAAGGGTTACATCAATGAAATACCCTCCTATACAGTTTCAGTTGCTGAGGGATGTTAGTAGTAGTTGTCGACATAATGAGATTTCGCAGGAGAAACTAGTTGTCTTGCTGAAAGTTGCCATGACAATATGGATTTTTTGTCCAAAAGGACCCCCTGGCCACAGAATTGCCAAAAAAGACCACATGTCAAAAACATTGTCAAAAAAGGCCCCCTCGCTAGTGGCGGCAGGCGCGACAGGCGACACGTGGCACCTGCCGCCACGCCAGGAGGCGGCGGGCCCTGCCGCCACCGCAAGAGGCCGCCGCGCGGGGTATAACGTTTCTGCATAGTGCGCCGAGCGGCGACGGAACGGGCCAGGCCAGGTGGGCCATGCCGCCACCCAGCGAGGCGGCCGCTGTTGCGGCTGTCGGGCGCGGGCCGACAACAGCAGCTGCACGGAAGGCGAGGCACAGGCTCGGATGCCACCGCAGCTGGCGGCACCGCTGCTGCACGGGCGACAGCCCCTGACCCCTGACGCGCTGATTCCCATGACAGCGACCTGGCGGGGCTAATTCCAACGGCGGGAAATGGACGCTGATGTGCTGCTGCCTTTCCCCGAGAATCACTTGTGCTTTTTCTTCTGCCTGGAAATCGCTCCTGCTTTTGCTTGTTTTGCTTGAGTGGATGCGACGGCACTGCGAGAGGAATCCGAGGCTACGGGAACCTGTTGTGCCGACACTACAGGGATCGTAAAATTTCGTCTGTTCGCGTTTATTTTTTGGCCATCATTTGTCGTCTGAGCCTATAAAAGGAGACACCGAGGCTCTCGTCATCTTCATCCAGCCATCCTCGAAATTGCCACTGCGCAAAGTGTGTAACATATTTTTCAGCCGGTATGAGTTTGCCTTGCTCGAATCAAAGCATTAGGCCGAGGAAAATGAAGAATGCAAGTTTGCCTCCGGGGGTGGCAGTCCTGCGGTGTTGGTGTGGCGATCTTTGCAAGGTGAAGGAGGTGACGGATTTTTCAGATTGGTTGGGCATGAAGTTTTTCATGTGCGCCAACGATGAGAAAGATCCACCATAGCTATTTCAGAGTACGACAAGCCTCCGGTATGCTTTAACCATCACGAATAGATATTATATGTATTTTGATTGATTCTTTAATAACATTCTTCTTTCTTGTTGTAGTCTCCTCCGCCTCTGTGCATGTACTATCGTTGGATTGACACGGAGAAGCCAGCTTGGGCAGTGACTGAGATTCATGAAAGAAGTCGCCGTGCATGGAATAGTTTATATGCGGAAGAGCAACGCGAGAAGGCAGAAGCTGAGGAGAAAGCAGAGCAAGAGAGAGAGTTAAAAGAATACTATGCGGAGCAACACCGTTTTTTCCAGGATTTAGGAAAGAGAAACATGGAAGAGGCTCGTTGCATGGAGGAGCAGGAACGAGAGCGAAAGGAGGCTCGTGAGGCGGAGAGACAGAGAAAGAAAGAAAGGGTTCGTGAGGCCAAGGCAGCAGAAGAAGCTGGCGATGGAAAAGGAAAATATCCACACTGGACTCAGTAGATTCCTGTGGTAGTATTTTAAATTTTGCAATCATTTGTATCTTTATTTCTGCAGTTTAATGTAGCTTTATTTCAGTAGTTAAATGTAGCTTTATTTCAAATCTATGATGTATCTTATTTTCAGTTGTGTCGTGTCGTAATGGAAAAAAATATAGTTTTAGAATAAAGTAGTGGCATTTTCTTTCCCTCCACTAATATCGAACATCGTGCAACAACTACAAAATGAAATTAAGATAAAACATAATGCCCTAAAATAAGAGAGTACAAACTAATAATGCAAGTACATCTGAATTAAACGGTAGAACTGGAATACAGCTTAAAAACTACATGAAGGCATCATCGTCATCCTCCATCGATGCAAAACTCTTGCCCTTCGAGGATGCAGAACTCTTACCCTTGGACGATGCAGAACTCTTGCTTTTCGAGGATGCAGTACTCTTGGCCTTTGACGATGCAGAACCCGGAAGCGACGGCATGAAGATATCATCTTCGTCCTCGCTTTCCTCAGTCCATAAAAATGGATGCTTTTCTGAAGTCCTTCTGAAAGTTTCACTCTTCGGCTCCACTACCTTCTTCCACCTTGCATGCAACCTAAGAAGTTCTTTACGTACCTCCTCATAGGTCCTTTCAGGCCACCCATACCTACGTAATTGGTGAGCCAACTCATTCATTATGGTGTTACTACCGGTGAGTTCGTCCCATGGAACTATCCTATTGTCCATCATGAAATCGGTAGCTAGACTCAGAAGAGTCCTACTCATCCTAGGGTGAAAACTACGATCGAAAGGATAATGGGACATCTCGACTACACTACACTCGAATGCTTATCCACCTCTGTCTGAAGGGGGTTTTATAGGTAGAGAGGAGAAAATGGCGGGAAAGAACGACTGTAGTATGGCGGGAAAGGGTTGGTGGGAACATATGGCATGAAGGGGTTGGCGGGAAACGGGTGGCAGGAAGATATGGCGGGAAGGGGTTGGTAGGAAACGGGTGGCGGGAACATATGGAGGGAAAGCATTGTCGGGAAAATATTGAGGGAAAAGGGTTGCGCGAAAACATAAGCCGAGGATTGGTGCATTTTTATTTCAGCATACATAGTTGTTCAAATCGAAAAGTCTGATACTGACATATGTAGATACAATGGGTCACGCACGTGGATAGATGAATCACTCTAGTTTATGACGACCACCTGGCCTTTCCTTACAACCGGAAAGCTCCAAGCGATTAGGTGGCCGAGTTACACAAAGACCACGGCCGTACTCCAATTCAGCTTCATGTGTCTGCGACTCCTGCGTAGGTGGTGGAGTCGGGAATCCTTGTTGCGAACCTGAAACATAATTGTAGGCGTATGGTTGTGACTCCGCGGGGATAAAAGATGGGCCAATAACGTCCCCTCCGAAGAAATCTGTAACTGATGATGTAACCGTGTCGCCATGATCATGTGATGCTCCCGGGACGCCTGTGTTGACGCCACGTTGGGTGTTCTCATCGTCCCAATTAACATCAGGTATGCCACCCTATACATAGAAACATTGTTAAAAAACTGTTAGAGGATAATATATGTTATCATTGTAAATGCATTAAAATGTAAACATGACTACCTGGTCAGATCCCTCGCGTGTACTATCTGGCCATTTGTACGTAGTACTGATTTAAATCTGGTACACGAGTCTCCTCGGGCATGGAGATCCCTCGCGTGGAGAGATACGACTGAGATCCCTCACCTTGGGTGTATGCGTCATATCCTGTGTACGCATATGGG